ATTTATGATTATAATAAAAATAAATTAATTACTAAATTATAATAAATATTATTAAAGTTTTAAAAATGTAAATATATTAACAATATTTTTATTAAAAATATAAATATATTAACAATATTTTTAACATTTTTACTAGAAATACTAAATCAAATGTTGAACTAATTATTTTAACATTATTACTACAAATACTAAATCAATATTATTCAAATTATATTAATGATTTGTAAGGTAAATATATACAATTATACTAATAACGAAAAAATTAAATTTATGATTAAAATTAAATTAATTACTACAATATTATTTAGCCTTGCAAAAATGTAAATATATTAACAATATTTTTATAAAAATAATGATTAAATACTATGATTACATTATAATAATGATTAAATTTATTACTTCAAATTTTTTATAACTAATTATTATTACTTCGAATTTATTACTCCCTAATTCTCAACCAAAACACCTAATTTTATTACATCCAGAGATATTCATTATACTTTCTCGTTCAGCCACCAACCACCAACCACCAACCTACCTAGTCGGAGGCAACCTACCACCCTAGACGCCATGTAAGCTTGGAGTCTTCCTATTTTGCATTGGAATCTTCCTATTTTGCCTGAAGACGTCATGTACTCATGGAGTCTTTTTAGTTGGCCTGAAGACGCCATGTAATCTTGGAGTCTTTGGCTCGATACTGTAAATTTCACCCTAGATAAGGAAACAATCCGGGAATAGCATTATCTTGGGAATTAAATATTCCCAAGTACATTATGGAAATTTTGCCCCCATAACAGTTTGTACTTTTCCTCTCTGCTGAATCACACTAAAATCCGCCATTGTTGATTTACAACAACAACAACAAAACCCTGATTCCCATATGCAATGGGATAAGGGGAGGTAGGTAGTAGGCTGACCCCAACGCCAGGTTGAGAGCAGCTTCCGTGGAAGACCTCCGGTAGTCAGAAAATTAAAAATAAAGATAAGATGCAAATGCATGTATAAATAAATAAATAAATACATAGATGAACAGTCTTCATATGCAGTCTTGATATGTGCGTCTGTAATGGGGAGTAATCCCTGTAAATAATTCCCTGCAAATAATTCCCTACATAGAAATCTCTGCATATAGACTGAAAATGTAAGACCCAGCTAAATTTAAAAAGAGGAAACATGAATAGAAATGATACACAAAAGTCAATAATAGCAAGCTACGAGAAGGAATAAATTCAAATGAGTTAATTCTTAAACTAAGGCAACACTACTCCGATACCCTAGTTCTAAGCCTTCATACATTTCAATGACAGAAACATGTATAAAGTAGAAGTCATGGAAAGTACTACAAAGACATTAAAAAGAAGACAAAGATGTTACACCCTATGGCTGTGAACCGCACTACTCGACTACCCTGGTCTTAAGTCTCCATACTTTCCTATCAGAGGTCATGTCCTCGGTAAGGGCTAATTCCTTCAAATAAGATCTCAAGCAGTCTTCCCACTTCCGTCTTGGTCGTCCTCTCCTTCTGACACCGTCGACTGTAATCGACTCTACCCTCCTGGCCGCATCCGGCGGTTGTCGCCTAAGGACATGCCCAAACCACCGTAGTCTTCCCTCCCTCAATTTTTCGGATACAAGCACCACCCCCAAGTACATCCTAATAGCAGAGTTAGGTGTCATGTCCCACAGAGTCCTACCACATGTCCATCGAAGCATTCTCATTTCTGCGGCCTCCATCCTCCTTACGTGATCCTTCTTGATTGCCCAACATTCTGATCCATACAGCAGCACTGGTTTTATTGTCATTCTATAAAATTTTCCCTTTAGTTTTAGAGGCACCTTCTTGTCACACAAAACTCCAGTAGCAGCCCTCCACTTTAGCCATCCCGCCTTTATACGGTGTGTAACGTCTTCATCTACACCCCCATCTTTATGTATCATAGACCCTAGGTACTTGAAACAATCATTTGAGGGGATAATGTGTCCTTCTATGCATACTTCTACATCTTCATCGTTTTGGTTTCCACTGAAGTTTGAACATACATAATTTGTCTTTTCAATCCATCTACTTGTTCAATAATTTCTCTTCTTTTCCAAGGACCACCGTGACTCGAATCGCTTCCATAGAATTTTAAATTATCATTTATATTTTTAAATATTTTATTTATATTTTTTATTAATAATTTATTTTCGTTTTCCTCGACGAAAATGACAAAATTCTGGGTGGGTAAGCAATACACACAAGAGTCGGCTTCTTCAACTTCAATTCCTCCAAATATTGTTCAACTGATCCATCAAGGAATTGCTTTCAACACCAGAGAATTCGAGTTCTCCGGTAGTTGTGCAGAAAGGGCGATCCTTTCATGGGCCGCCATGGATGCGGAGAAAACGAAGAAGAGCTGTGCATTATTACGTGAAGCTGAACTCGCTGATTCCCAGAAGAATCGAAGCGGGGTTATGATCGGGAGGAGCAATGATGACAGTGTCCATGTTCATTGGAAAGCAGAGGCTGAGTCGATCCTCTCCATGTGTTCCAGTTACTACGATATTTATGGAGCTGTGAAACATCTCGGGGAAGACGAAAGGAAGAAACTGGAGCAACTGGTTCAAGGCATGGCTGCAAGAAACCTTGGGTGCATTGGTTTTGCACACAAACAAGCTCCTGAGGAAGAATATGACGATTCAAATGACAAGGTGATGCTTAATGGAAACGGCTTGATCCTGTTAGGGCTACCGGGTTTACAGGGATGAATATATGTTACTGTTACTAGCTTCTTTTTAATGATCAAAACAATTTTAATTATTGATATATTGATTGATTAATTCAAATTAAATATGAAATTTATTATGAAATAATATTTTTAATTTAATTTACTTCATTTACAAATATTAAGATTTAAATATATTATCCTTATTCAAGAATTTAGTGTTCGATGAACTCATTGTTAATAAAACAATTATATTGTTAGTCGGCAAAAATGAAAAAAATAGTCTTTAATGTTTGTAAGGTCTTTGTATTTTTGGAAAAACAAATTAATGTGGTCATTTGTTAATTTTTTTCTTAACGCGATCTTATAACTTAGAAAATAAACTCAATATAACTCTTTTATTAACGTTTTTTTATCATTGATTGATATAGTACTAACTTGACGATTCACGGTACTAACGTAGTAGTCTACCTGACATGTTTGAATTACTAATATTTCTTCAAGAATTTAGGGTTCGCTTGGTTCTAGAAAATATTTTATGTTTTTATTTCTAGAAAATAGTTTTCATTTTTAATTTTTTTAAAATTAGAAAATATATTTGGTATCTAATTTTTTAAAATAAAAAATTAAATTAAAATATAATTATTAAAAATTTTCATTACATAAATTTTACATGGAGTTATGTAAAAACAATAAAATTAATAAGAAATCTATTTACTTTTTTGATCAACTGAATTAAATTGTCAAGATGATTGCATGGCAGTTCACAAAGTTTACATGATAATTTACATTGTTGATGTAACAGTTCATTATGTTGTTGTGGTAGTACACGATGGATAATGATGTGATAAATGAGTTTAATTGATTTTTTATTAAGTTTGAGGGCTTAATTAATATTTTATAAAGTTTGATAATTTATTTAATTTTTTAAAAAATTAAGATGTTTAAATATAAAATATGAAATATAAATCATTATTAAGATATTTAATACATTAAATATAAAATGCTAAAAAATAAATTACTAAAAAAATAGTTTAAGTACCACATTGAGTGTAAAAAAGAGTTTAGGGACCATATTGATTTTGATTTTTTTTTCCAAAAGCTTGAGAGTTTTAGATACCATTAAATCAAAAACTTATTGTTAAAAGGATTTGAACATGCCTAAATTAAGTTTAAAATCTAGATTTTGTATTTTTCTATTTTTCAAATTTCCAAAATAGTTTTAATGAAAATGCTGAAAACATATTTTCTATGTTTTTTTATTTTCATTTATTTTTGTTTTCATTTTTTAGAAATCGATTTCTAATTTTACCACCAAACATGTTTTCTTTAATGTTTTATATTTTTTAAGAAAATGAAAATAGCTTATATTTTCTTAAATCAAACGAACCCTTAATGTCTGACAACTCATTGTTAATAAAACAATTATATTATTAATTGGCATGGTGACAAAAGTAGCCTTTAATGTTTGATAAAGGATCATTTTGGTATTTTTTTTAGAGTATGACATTTTAATATTTAGTTAAAATAGTCAAAATTGTTAGTTGACTAGTGATTAATACGTATAATATTTAAATAGTTAAGTGAACAAAAATTGAAAAAACAAAAACAAATGGTAAGTCTACTTGGATGAAACACTGGGGTTGTTTGTTTACATCAGAATGATTAAGTGTTGAATGATTCAAATGCTGAATGATTCAGAGGCTCTGGATGAATTAGCTCTGAATGTGACATGTTGTTTGTTTACTGGCTCTGAATCATTCAAAATGTACTTCTGTGCTGAATCATTTAGCACTGTTTTACTGAATCAGTCAGCACTGAATCATTCAGAGGTGCGAAACAAACGCGTTGAATGCTGAACGGTTCAGCATTCAACGCTGAATGGTTCCATTAAGAGGTAAACAAACAGCCCCTAGGTCTTCTTTCAGCTTCCCGAATATGATAATGGACATATTGAAGAGAGTTTGTTGGACTATATCATGTGGAAATAATGGACACATAAGTATTAAAATTTTAAACCAACAAAATTATTGGTTTTTTTATGAATGTTAACAAATAAATATTATTAAACCACAATATCAGTTAAAATTTAATTTTAAATTTCAATATCTACATTTTTTCCCGGCATTACAAAGCTTTGTGACTAAGATCAAACAAACAAAAAATATAAGCCCATTCCAAGATAAGCTAAAGGGATCAAATAATTTTTAGTCCTTGAACTTGTTAATATCTTCCATTTTAGTCATCGAACCTTTTTTAGGTCCACAATAGTCCCTAAACTAAAATTCAACAATGTCAATGGAGATTGATGGTAGACAATACTCCTTTGGCAGCTATAACCAAGTGCACTACAACCATGATTACAGATCCTTGCAAGCACATCGTGAGCAATGCTAAAATCCCAAGAGCCGAGCTAGGCTTGGTATTCATCAAACACGATTGCAAGAGCCCCATGATTCGACAAACGCACTCGTTGTAAGACGTATAATACGGCTTCTCCCACTCCATCCAATCCGACGGAGGCTCGTAGTTTCTCTCGACGATCTTCATGTCATGGATCCGTTTCCTCAACACGATCAAGTTCTCGTCAACCAATTGTCCACCGTGATCCCACCGTCGAGAGTCTCCTCTGGCCGTGTAGATCGGACCGTCTCTAGACCGTTTTTCATGCCACGAGCGGGGAAATGTTGTCGGAGGAAGGAGAGAAGGGAAGAAAGAGGAGGAGGAACAAAGAGAAGCCGCTTCCATGGTTGAATATGGTGAATCTATGAAGTTACAAGGATGGATTTTATGGCAATTTATTGCACCATTTATTTATAGGCACGGATCTCGAGATCTAACGTTTTGAAACTTGACACGTGGCATTAATTAAAGTACTGCTGGATTTATAACTAAAAAATTGATGGCCGGTTTGAGGTTTATGTTTTCATTGCTGAGGAATGGGCAAAACTGCCCAAATAATGATTTAGTGATTGTTTAATTCCCAAAAAAATCCAGTTTATTTATTATTTCCCGAAATGGGGTGAAATGTACAGTGCTTCAAGTGGTTCTTTGGATATCTCGGTGTTTTTAGGGTTAATTTTTCCATGGTTCTTTGGATATCTCGGTGTTTTTAGGGTTAATTTTTCCATGATTGCTTTCTCGGCGTCTTTGGGGTTATGACACTATGGGAATGCTCGGCGTCTTCAAGTAATTGGACTGAGGGATCTCTCGGCGTCTTATGCATGCTACAAGGAATGCCAAGGTGGATCTCTCGGCGTCTTCACCTGTCGTCTGATGGGAATGCTCGGCGTCTTCAAGCAATTGGACTGTAGGATCTCTCGGCGTCTTCTGCATGCTACAAGGAATGCCAAGGTGGATCTCTCAGCGTCTTCACCTGTCGTCTGGCGGGAATCTCTGCATGACTCTCTGAATCGTGCATGCATTCTGGGGCCTGAACGTCTTCATCTCTGCTTGACTCATGCAGAGTTGATTTAACAGTTGAATACAATAATAATAGGAGTGCTCGGCGTCTTTAGTTAATAGGGTTACAGGGGCATTCGATTTCCCGGCGTCTTAAGCTATACATGGAGAATATTTGGTTGCAGGTGGTCGTGAAATCTCGGCGTCTTCTTCTTCCGAGATTCGTTCTGCATGCGTCTGTATTGTTTGTCGTTGAAGCGTGAGATTCGTCTGAAGCGTGAGACTAATAATTTACTCGAAGTCTTCAATTACTTGTTATAAAATAGGGGTGGGTATTGTATTTCATTGCATGCAGTTGGTTTTAACTTACAGAAGCAAGTGAGGGAATTTTTTTTTTGCATTAGATTCAATTGAAGCTGCTGCTTGAAGTGATATTGGAGATTTTTGTTGGTTCGGTAATTTTTCGAGCTTTGGTTTAACGTCGTTCAAAAACACGTAAGTTCTTTCTCGTTTCCCATGCGAACTCTGTTTTTTTCGTGTTGAAAGAATGCTCATATATGTTAGGAGAATGATACATTTAAATTTTGTTCATGAGACCATAGTAATGTAATTTAGAGTACTAATGATAATTTAAAATTAGAAAATTTAAGTTTGATGATTAGGTATACAGAAAATTTAAGTTTGAGTATTATTGTTAATTTAAATTTTCGTGTAATTTTTAGTTGTATTTTTATATAATAATTATTAGAATTTTTATTTTGATTTAGTGGGAAAAAAATTCCCATTATGTAATTCTGATATTTTTACCGTAATAATAATGTATTTAAGTATTATTTTTATAAAACAATTGTTAACATAATTTATATTTATTATTTATAGTTTTGTAAATAATTAATTTTCATTACATTATTAATGTAATTTATTCTGAATATCTATATTTTTACGTGTAGAGAAAATGAGCAACAAATTTTTCACGATTGTCCATTACAATGGACATATGATGGAAAATGAGGTCGGAGTTATTTTTCAGTCTGAAACACCTATAAATATGATGTTTAAAAGGGACATCACATTTGCAGAGATCAAGGAGAGGATAGAAAGAAAAATACGTGCTAAAGTTGATGGTTTGAGGTACAGATTTATGGTATGTCCCAATCCGGTCAGGTATGCTGCAGTACCACTTGAAGAAGACGATGATATTATAACTATGGTTGAATTACATGACTCAACAAATATTCCAATTATTGAGTTATTTGTTGAGTTGTGTAATATATCTAATGTGCCTGGGTTATCAATAAATGCGGTTGAAACTTCATCTCAAATGGGTTTCGAGAGTCATTTCGATAACCCAACATATAGGTCGATGAACAGCTTTGTGGCGATGTTGGAAAGCGCAAATGAAGTTGGTGGAACATCTGGAGCCGCAGAGTATGATGATGAAAACCGCTGGGAAGAAATACTTGAAGATTCCAGTGAAGATGAAGAAACTGAGGAACCTCTTTTGGCTGAGGATGATGCCATGTTCCATGGTGATGAAGCTGATATCAATATTGATGAATATTCGACATCGTATCAACCTACCCCTCACATGCAGGAGATTGATTATGAAGCAATGAGGGCACCTGAATTCCCGGAGATGCCACATTTAACTTCAGGCTATATGATTGAATCGTCCGATAACTCTGGTGAATTAGCAGTTGGGAAGCATTACAGAGGAAAAAAAGAAGCTACACTAGCGATTAAAGAGTATTGCATAAGAGGCCATGTAGATTGCAAGACTGCAGAGTCCAACCAGAAAACTTTGTACGCAAAGTGTGTTAAATATGGGCCCGAGTGTAAATGGTTGATCAGAGTGTCCAAAATGCAGAGGCAAGATGCTTGGGTCATCACAAGGTACAATGGTCCACACACATGTTTGCAAAACTCCATCGAACAAGACCACCGACTACTGGACTCCGATGTAATTTGTCAATATGTGAAGGTTTTGGTTGAACAAAATCCAAGGATCCCTTGCTCGGTGTTAGCTGCATCTATTCGAGACCAGTTCGGATACAATGTAAAATACAAACCCGTGTGGCATGCGAAGGAGAAGGCAAGGAGGTTGATATATGGCGATTGGGATACATCATACAATGAGTTACCTGATTTTTTACGAGCTATGAAACAATTCATACCTGGAACCATCGTGAAGTCTCAGACCATGCCTGCATACGACCGAGAAGATCAACTTGTTCAAGGGAAGAGAATATTCCATAGACTCTTTTGGGCATTCAAGTCTTGCATAGAAGGTTTTCCATTTTGCAAACGTATGGTCCAAATAGATGGTACGTGGTTATACGGTCAATACAAACATATATTATTGATAGTAGTTGCGCAGGATGGTCAACGAAATATATTCCCAATTGCATTCGCCATCGTTGAAGGAGAGACAACAGAGGCTTGGGACTTCTTTCTCAATAATCTACGTAAGTATGTCGTCCGAGAAGAAGGATTTTCCTTGATATCCGATCAAGGAACTGGCCTTTTGGCAGCAATTGAACGACCGAGAAGTCGTTGGACACCTCCGCACGCATATCCCGCATATTGTATCCGTCATATTGGTAAGAATTGTATTGAGAAGTTTCATAACGGCCGTATTCGTAGGGAGATAGTCAGCATGGGTAAGTTTTATTTTCAGCATTTGTACTCATTTATGTGTTTGTTTATAAATTGACTTTAACACAATATCTATTTTGAAACAGGATATGAACTACGCCAACCAAATTTTGACAAGAGATTGGAGGATTTGAAGGCCATAGATGAGCGTGTTTGGAAATGGGCGTCGAAAATCGAGCGGGAGAAGTGGTCGCAAGCATACGATTGTGGTCGGAGATACGGACACATGACTACAAACCTTGCTGAGGCCATTAATTCAGTACTAAAAGGTACACGACATCTCCCAATAGCGAGTGTGGTGAAAGAGACATACTTTAGGTTGGCTAAAGTTTGGTCTGATAAAGGGAAAGATTGAGTGTCTGATAAATCGAGGTAAAATCTGGGCTCCGGCGGTGGTAGAAGCAATGGAAGCAAATGAGCGTATGGCAACCTCAATGTTTGTTCATGACTTCGATCGAATTGGACATACTTTTGTTGTCATCGCATGCATACGTCGCAACGAAGGAGCAGATCGAGAATCATTTACTGTTAATTTACGACAAAGATGGTGTGATTGTGGCCGCTTTCAGGCGTGGAGATATCCGTGTGCTCATGCAGTCGCTGCATGTATGCATACTGGAATCAATTCATACACTTATGTTGATGAGTGCTTTCACCTACAGAGGATATTAAATATATACAACCATGAGTTCAGACCGATCCCAAATGAATCTTATTGGGACAATCGAGATCATGATGAATGGTTGCCAAATCCACTACTTCGTAGAAGTCCAACGGGTCGACCGGAATCTACTCGTATTCATACCAGTATGGATATACATATTAGAGAGAAAGGCCAACCGAAGAGGTGTGGATTATATAGAGGTGAAGGGCATTCAAAAAGAAATTGTCCAAACCTTCCACAGTATAGACCTCAGCAGTAATCTTATTATTTTATAAATTTTTATATTATATGCGATTCATTTACTCGAGTACATATTTAATAATTATTATTTAAATTTAATTATTTAACTTTAATGATTTAATAATAATTATTTAACTTTAATGATTTAATAATAATTACTTTAATGATTTAACTTTAATGATTTAATAATAATTACTTTAATGATTTAATTTTAGTGATTTAATAATAATTACTTTAATGATTTAATTTTAATGATTTAATGATTTAACTTTAATGATTTAATGATTTAACTTTAATGATTTAATAATAATTACTTTAATGATTTAATGATTTAATGATTTAATAATAATTATTTTAATGATTTAATGATTTAATGATTTAATAATAATTACTTTAATGATTTAACTTTAATGCTTTAATAATAATTACTTTAATGATTTAATGATTTAATAATAATTACTTTAATGATTTAATTTTAATAATTTAATAATAATTACTTAATTTTAATGATTTAATTTTAATGATCTAATAATAATTACTTGACTTTAATGATTTATATTTACTGATATAATAATAGTAAATATATTCGATTCAATTACTTTAATTTGATACAAATAATTAAAATAAGGATTACAACTCTTGTCGGTGTCGGGGTGTTGTTGAGTAATAATGTCGAGGCCCACGTCGGTTTCGTTGTTGTCGTTGCACTTGTTCAGGAGTTTGTTCAGCATAACCAACCTGCTCATTCATCGAGGGCATAGGATCTGGTGTTGTAAATACATGCCCA